TATGAAAATGAACAGTTTTGTCACAAAGTACTGTATATTACCATGGCTATTTATAATGAGAATTAAAAAAAGAATGAAATCAAAATGCTTGGAAACTTAAGTCAGATTTTTTTCAAAAAAGGCTGCAAGGTTAAATAATTCCTTATGAAGCAGCTGATCTGAACACCATAATGTTGCCAAAAGCAGTAAAACAATGTATCATATTTAAACTGGTTTGGACAGTCATGGAAGTCATAAAAGTAATGTAAAAAAAATTAGATTATGGCTTATTGTGTGTGTTACTGTACTGTATATAAATGGCTGAAGGAAATGAGTTGGCTGGCAGATTAAATGGCTCTGCATAAACATCATTCAACATAAAAAATCTCTTACATGTGCTTATTTTGTGTTCCCGGAGAATGTTTCAATGTTCAAACCCTTCAAAACTGAGATTAGCTGTGTTTAATTACTGCTTGTCAAGTTACACTATTGATATTTTTTCTCACTTGCTAAAGAAAATTTGAATCCTAAAATAGCACTTTATAATTTTGCATTTCTTTAAATATAGGAGACTAGGGAATTTATCATCAAATGTAATCAAGAATGTATACCTGTACATCGATGCATGTAAATTCTTGCTGGTCCGATCCTGGTCTTTTTATTTTATTTATGCTCTTTCTGTCATTGTGTTTTTGTTTAGAAGTGAATGCTAAACAATATTCCAGCACTTTAATGTTTTATTGATGGGGATAAATACAAATTCTTACTGATAAATTAGATTTTTAAAAAATTTTGATTCATATTGAACCAGCAGTGCAATTAAATTGTGTGACATAAAGTATAACATTTAATTATTCTGGATTTTAAAGAAATTCCTGCACTGGAACAATACATTTATAATGTAAAATGCTTTGTAAATTACAATGTCTATATTTGTGCTTCATAGTTCAGAATAGTTCAGATTGTGAAGTTGTAAAAAAGGTAGCAAACCATTCACAGAGCACCTTTATCGTCAGTGAAAGGATCAGAGGCAGTGTGTGTAATCTTATTTACTGTGATCTGAGACATTTCTTCCTTATTGTACCATTTCCACAAAGGGCTGGTTTACTGACCACCCAAGTACAGTCTGGTTATTTTTGAGCTTTTCTCAATCTGCATGTCTGTCTCCATTGAGGATGCCACAAATGCTCATTTACATGGTTATGCATTAAAAATTTAAAAAGCAGATATTGGTAAAAGCAGCTAGTTTATCCCTGTTGTACACAAGAATAAAATCCAACAGCATATTTTTTACAACTGTACTGTATGTCACAGCTATAAACCTCTTGACTGCACATAAGGGAGAATGAAGACACCACTCATCATTTACCATGTCAGAGGCACCAGAGCCTCATGTGATTTCATGTTTTTTAGTTTGGAGGACTATCACCTTCCTCGCCTTCCTCATTGACAGCTCTACATGTCTGTAGGTGTGCTAAGGTTATAAGGGGCACATGTATTACAGAGATCCAAGACAGCCATGACTAACTAAACCATACTGTCCTTTGCGACACTCCCAATGTTGTGCACTGCCAAATAATGAAGGCCAGTCACAGGGGACATAACACAGGCTTGAACCCATGATCATCAACTTCAACCTGTGATCAACCAAGCACCTTTACAAGTTGAACCACTTTGATGGTTTATGAACATTTATACCTTTAATTATAGGCTTATTGGTATAACTCAGGATTGTAGAAGAAACTAATAAAGCAAAGGATAGGCAATATATTGTTATAGCTTTAGGTGACTGAGAAGTGTGTCTTAGATTTTAGATAAAGTTTGTGACACTGGGAAGAGTAAACACTTCAAACTTCAAAGGTACTGTCCTGTTGATGTTGTCACTCTGACATAAATCCCAGAGTGCCAGAGAATTTGCTCAAATTTGAAAGAGAGTGACACAGCTGTACTGTACGCCACCTCAAACAAATTTGAACTGGAGAAATACAATGTTTTTTTTCAGTTATCACGTTGTTTAATAGTTAGAAATATCACTTTGGTGCTACAAAAAATAATCAAATACATACTACAATAACATTCAGTAGAGTATGAATTCAAGCAAACATTCAACAAATAAATAAAGAAAAAATAATGTTCCTATTCGAGCATTCTAAAAACATTACAAAAAGTTAAATGATCTCATTGTATTTTATATCATTCCATAATTTGTGAGTTTAGTCAATAGACATTACTTATTAATTAAGACTTTTAGCACATTTAAAACTCTTGTTTTTTTATTGTGTATCCTTAGTAAAATAAATAGAAAAGGAATAAAAATAAATAGGATAAACTGTAGCCATGAGAATGAAATTCAATAGTTATTTGAGGCCAGCTAGGACTGGGGAGAAAGTCTGTTGCGTGACTATTAACAACATTGGATGTTGACTTTTGAAAAACACTGTACTCTGCTTGTTGTCTTCTGTTTGCATGGTGACGTACATTATTAATCAACATAACTCCATCTCTTGGTTGTTATATTTAAATATTTCCAAGAACTAGAACTGATCTGCCTATGTTAAGTGAGACACATTTTAACATGAACAAATAGCTGTTTTAGGACAAACATTTACTCTTTGAGTAAATTAAAATGTTTTCCAGTACCTAATGTATTATTAGCCCACACGTGAATGTTGTCTTTCCCATAAATGTGGGAGTGATTAAAACCCCCTTTAGTGATTATCGAGTCCTGCAGGTCTTCTACATTCTACTCCTATTTTAAATTTTAAATCTAATTTCTTCTGGGCACAAAGTGCTGTTGATAAACAGCTGACAGATATGGATTTTATGGTAGGTTACAGACCTAAGTCTGTCTCAATTAAAAAAAATAACATGAAGTCCCACGAAATGCCAACGGGAACATATACAATATTCTTTAAATATTTTAAAATATACTTTTCATATATCCTTCACTATTTATTTGAATCTCCTAATTTATAACTTATCTGAAATAATTATGAAAACAAAGAGCAAAGTGGGTATTTAGATTTTATACCACATAGCTTAATAGTTGTTGTGAGTACAGGTTCTATTATATATGTTTATATTTTAGAAGTATTTTGTAATTATTACTAGTGATTTGTACTACATTTTCTTAATACCTCTATTAAATGCATTGTCCTTAGTAAATACCTTCAGGGTTTATGGATGATGGGGACTTTTGCACATATGATACACAGAAAACACAGAAAAGGTCTAGGGTTATTCCTGGAATTATTTAAATGATTATTTTAACCAGAAAACAAAATAAAAAGAACAAACTGAATGACTGTAAAGAACTACTGTACCTTTTCATTATCCATTGGTGACCTCTAGTGGTGAATTCATGTTCTCTGTGCTCTTCAGTCTAACTCAAATCAGGCAATTTGAGTTAGACCAGACCTAGTATCTGTGTCTATAACTATTATTAATTATTTCTGCTAATAATACCTCGATGGTGCTTAAACACATTAAAGACCCTGTGTATTTGTTGATTTTTCTGTTTGATTATTTGTGGTTTTGAGTCCAGAGCCTCTTACGCAAGAAGCTATTCTTAATGGTTGTTCTCTTTTTAATATATTGTTATTAATAAATTGATTTACTGAATTAAAGCAACAAGATTAAAATTTCAATCTGCTTATTTTAAAAGGAAGAGCTTTTCAGATTAGTGGAGATTATTAGGAGGCCATGATTGGTAAGGGCCAATGGGAAACACCCTGGGATTTTTAATGACCACAGAGAGTCAGGACCTCGGTTTTACATCTCATCCGAAGGACGGCACCTGTTTACAGTATAGTGTCCCCGTCACTATACTGGGGCATTAGGACCCACACAGACCGCAGGGTGAGCACCCCCTGCTGGCCCCACTAACACCTCTTCCAGCAGCAAACTTAGATTTTTCCCAGGAGGTCCCCCATCTAGGTACTGACCAGGCTCACACCTGCTGAGCTTCAGTGGGCTGCCAGTTGTGAGTTGCAGGGTGATCCCAGGTACTGCTTTTATGTTTTTTTTTAAGCAGAAACGTACTGACAAATATGTTTACAAATGCACAGTTCATAGCCCTATTACATTGACAAATATATTTGCATTTACAAACATATTACAAATTTCAAATTATCTATCACACTTTCAAAAGAAGCTTTAGTGAACTTGTTTAGGGTGCTATATGAGGAACAGCCTAATCACATGAAGAGAAATTAGAAAGACTGAACACCTCACAGGCAATTGAATCACAAAAATGTCCGTGTCCTTTTCATAAGGAGGGGGATTAGAGGTCAGAACAACAGGACCAAGAGTCCAGGTCCAGGGGTGGATCTTGTGTTTATGCAGCTTCTATCTCATATGTCACTTTGTGAGCACAGTTTGAGCCCAGTGGTAACAAGGGATACGATCTTTGTGCAGTAATTCCTCACTTACAGTAAGTATTCTATTTCTCTGTGATTGTTATTGTTTTGGGCACCTTTACACAGCCTGTAGAGTGCTCTCTTCAGAATTTCTCCATGAATTATTTGAAGCCATATTTTCATAGACTTAGACTTAAAACATAGGAATGATTACAAATTATTAATAAGCCTTTTGATCTGAGGATCTCAAGCAGCCAATTGTTAAAGAAGATTAGCTTCAAGAATATGACTGGGTAGTCTGTGCCAGGCTCCCACATACCATACCATACCATTTGTATAAAAAAATGTTCAATGTTTTCCATTTGGAATACCCTTTCCATTAGTTTCAGGATGAATGTATTTGGCCCTTTAAACATACATGTTTGATGTACAGGATAACCAGTTGTCTATTCACTCTATATCCTCCTGTTTACAAACATTCTTATTCGCAGTCCACTTTTCCAAATTATTATATAAACCACAACTTTAGACTCAGCCTTATCATTTTAATGTATACATCAAATGTTACCATATTACAATAAAAAATACAATTTAATTTAGTATATTCAATTATAATTATATTAATTTATTTAATTTATTTTATATACAGTATATAAGCCTGGCTATAGTAAGTAGGAAAAATGTGAATTCTTAATTTTTAACAATGTGACATTACAAAAAAAGGTATCAAAAACCATAATGAATAATAAAACACAACAAAGAGTTTAAAAAAAAACCAAGAAAAAAATTCAATGGACCAATTCAATTGACCAACATTAGAGACCATGACAACAGTTTTATGATGTTTCAAAAGGGTTAAGGTACATTATACATTTTATACATTTTAATATAAATGACGCCTGACTTATTTTGCAGAACATGAACAAAATAACATGCGTTTCAAGCTGTGGGCTCTAACTCTTTCCCTTGGCTTGAGAAAGAACATTTTTTCCTAAAGAGCACTATATTTAGAACTTCCATCCTGCCATGGGTGCTTACAAAACAGTAGAGAAAAGGATCAACAACACAGTTCAAGGCAGAGAGAGCCACAGAAATTTTGTGGGGATAAAACAGTATTTGGGCAAAATCACAGTTTTCTTGTTCCAGTGCACTACGGATCACCATAATTACATGAAATGGGGCAAAGCAGAACAAAAACATTATCATTATGCTGAAGAGCAACTTATTAATTTTTCTCTTTTCACAATCTACTGTGGCTCTGTTGCTTTTTACGGCTCTGTAAATTCCTTGGCAGCAGAACATTATCAGCAATGATGGTAAAAGGAAGCCTGCGAAGAATCGGATAAAATTAAATTTTGCTTTCCATGCAGGCAGAGGGTGTAAGTCAAAGCAAATTAAATAAAACTCTTCACAAGTATATGTCTCCTCAATATTCAAAATTAACACATTGCACAAGAGTCCTGTTGCCCAGATGATAACACTGATGTATCCCGCGTTTTTCACTGTCCTCAAAAAGAAATATCTCAGTGGGTGAACAACAGCCAGATATCTGTCTAATGAAATGCAACACAAAAAGGCTGCACTACTGTAGATATTGGTATACATCACAAATACACAAAGCTGACAAATGAAAATTCCATAACTCCAAACATCCTTCAGAGCAAAATCCACCCAAATTGGCAAAACCATTGTGTACATCAGGTCTGCCAGAGATAAATTAAGAAGATAGACCCCCAGTTCATTTTTTCTCTTAATTTGTTTGTAAGACACATACAATGAAAATAAGTTTGCTGGAATGCTAATCAGAATGATTGTAATATAAAAGGAAGAGAACAAGGCATTATTAAAATGATAATGAATAGTGCAACTGTTATAGGAGCTTGGAATCACAAAGCTGGAATTCCTTGTGAGGCATGAATTGTCCAGCTGGTTTTCTGTGTCATCTTGTGGAGCTAAAACAACAAAAGTAAGTATATCAAATTTGCATTATATATGAAGAAACTGTCATGACCATAAACCCCTCCTCTTATGGACGCTCCAGCCCTTCCTAGTTTATTATTTATCTCCTGCTCCTGCCTCTGGTTCCAGCCCCCCTTCCTTAAAAGCCAGGTGTTTCTGCCAATCTGGGCTCAGCTTTGGAAGATGGATGCCCGGAAGTCCAGGAGTGACTTAAAGGCATAGGCTTCACAACAGCATCCTGACCATCTGGGTCCGGGGATTGGAGTGTTTGGTCCCATAACCCCCTTTTATTCCCCCAACCCTTCGCCGGATCCTGCTCTGGCTTTTAACTGTTTGTCTGTGTCAGGATGGATCACCCGGATTTGGCATTGGCTTTCCCTGGATAATCTTATGGACTCTCTTGGACTTGTTTGCCCTGGACACCCCCCGAACACCAGCGCACCTTGGACATGCCCCCTGTTTGTCTTCCAGCCCCTAACCTAGTCTTTTTCCCTGTGTTTGTCTCACTCCCTTCCTGATTGTGCTGTCTGCATATGGTCCTGAAAGACGCTTTGTGACAGAAACATAAGAAAGACTGAAAATAAGAGTAAGTTTGGGCAGCACTGGAATTATTGTTGTATTTGCATTTTAAGTATTTCATTTAAGAAATTTAGAAAAATTCAAACAAAACTAACAATAATAAGAAATGTAAAAATGACAAAATTACATCAAAACACCTAAAAAAACAATGCAAAGAAAAAACAGCAGCCAGAGAAAGAACATACAGGTAAAAGTTGCTTATGTCTTTTTACAGTATTCTTGTTTAGATGAGAATAAAGTTAAAATCTAAGATAAAAATAATCACAGTATAATTGGATACACAAAATAATCAGGGATATGTACAATGTTCAGTTTTTTTTCAAAGTTTTCAAAAAAGGAAACCCAGATCCAATAAGGTGCCTGTCCTATAGAATGATTCTTCATTGTTGCAATTGTAAAGAATATATAATTGAGCCAGCTCTTGAAACAGGGCAAAGTTACAGAATTATATTCTTCAAGAATACTTTTTATGGCCTCAGCCATTCCAAACATCAGTGCTAATTATCCTTCCTTACTTAGTCTGAGAGTTGCCTCTGAATAACTTAAGAGGCTAGTTCAGGATCTGGGGGTACAGTGAATTTTACCCAAAAACTTACATTACATTTTCATGTTAATTTGAAAAGTAATCTGGTAACCATTTTTTAGTTTCTCTTACTGGAAGTACCCATCGTTTCATTTATCCTTGTAACCAAGTATTGTTTTGATTTTTGTCTAAATTCTGACTTGGCGGAAAGTAAGAAATATGAGTCTTAAATACTTTACAGAAACATGATTCACCCTTTAAACATTATACAAAAACATTTTATTATGCTATATAGTTTATTTATAAACTGAGAACACTTTGAAAGTTTATAGTAAATTTATCACTTTCACACTTTAATTTTAGACACTGTTTTAACGTTTCAGTTCCAGTTTGTTTCAGTGCCACAAATTGTTTTTGAAATTCTCCTTACAAAACCCTTCCCTATCGAAAGCATTTTCTATTTTAAACACAGATCTTTTGATAATTCATTTTGCATGTTCCTGATGATAAAAGCAACTTTAGTAAATGTTTATCCTTCTAGAACCCAATTTGCGAGTTCAATTCTATTTAAATCATTAAATTGTTTCAAGAAAACCATTTCTAAATGATTTCTAGATATATAATTCATATATGCAGTATATACAGTATAAGTCACACAGGGTCAATTGCATTAAACAATATCAGTTATTTAGAGTAAACGTAGAAAACAAACCAAAATATTATAAAGCTTCAAAGAGAGATGGTAACTTTTTGACACAGCATGTACAACTCTTTTGATAAGCTCCTTGAAGCAAAGCACTGACAAACTGAACTCCAGCAACACTTACCTCCTTGAGTGAAAGACATCAGGAAATAGATATCTAGATTATGTTTTTGAACTTGTCTTTTCATATAAAACTGTTTTGACTATAGAGAATACAGTATAAATAAAGAAAAGAACTGTACAAAAAGTCTAACAAGGCAGTATTAAAGAACACGGAAGAGACTTGTACTGTATGTGATCAAGGATGTTTCCTGTGTGGTTATAAATGGTATCTCTCTTGAATAAGGAAATGATCATCTTCAAAAACATTTCACACGTATAAAGTTCTTAGCACATCAAATTGAGATTATTTCACCTCTGCAATGAATCTTTTGATCAGTTACTTCAATTCCCATCAGAGATTAGTAGATATTTCACACTCATTGAGGAATGGAGGATTTATTTGAATACAAAAACCCATTCTTTCACTGTGAATCTGCTGTGTGCTATTGTGATTTGAGGATGTTTTGATGGCTTGTTCATCTTTTTATATATATATTTTCACTCAACTCTATGAGAATAAGTAAAAACTCCATATCTGTATCACATAGGACACTTTTGTGCTGTAGCTGAGAAAATACTGTCCATTTTTGAGTTTGACAAGTGAAATACTCTAGCCTAGATGAAGAAGGCTTGAACTCAGGAATTCACAATTACTGTATTGAACTTGTAAATGGTAATTTGTGTGTTTAGATTGTACTTATGTTAAATTAAAAAGCCATTTATTTTTTAAGCCCACACCTCTTCATTCCACTGGAGTCATAAGGTGGCAGGAAAACAAAGACAAAAACCATGTGATACACTTGGTCCATTTTCATTCTTCACTGTGGGCTTTTTATCTTATATTGTAATATGTTATGTTGGATATTACACAACATTGGCAATCTCTTACAATATACTAAAGCCTTGCGCAATACATAACATGTCTAGTTCAGACTGTTGTTGTTCCAGCTCACAGACTTGGCCCACATGTAAAACCTGTATGTCTTTCCGAGAAAAGAATGATAAAGATACAGCAAAGCCAGTATTCCAATGAAATAACACCCTCTTTAAAATCTTTATTGCAATTCAAAAATTGAGATTTTTTCTTGGCTGAGGTAGGCTGCAGTGTTATAGTGATGTCTTGCTGCTTTTTTTTAACAGAAAATAACAACGTTTCAGGAGAGAGAAGAAAATTGTGTTTTCTGCCTAGAGGATAAATCAATTGTTGTTTTTATATATTATGTTAGCCTGTTAGCAACTCGGTTGTTACAATATGTATCCCTTTTCTGATTGTGAAACAAAAAGTAATGCAATACCCATCCTCTGAGTCATTAATGGATACATCTGATATACCACACCCTGAACAAAATTCTCTTCTTGTATTACAAAATATTAAAATTTACAATTAAAAGTATTTGTGCTGCGATGCTTTTAGATCACTTAAAATTATTCCATGTAAGTTTTTAACCTGTTAGTGGAGAAGACCCTTTTAGCCTATGTCCGCCTGGAATTTCCTCCCCTTAAACATTTTGTTATATCTCTGCAATAGAACATAGCAGGAGCCTGGTTCAGGTCTTTAATTGAAGCTAACCCCCTTGGCTTTGAGTGTGAGCAGTTTCTTAATGTGTCCACTCAGCAGACAAACGTATGAAAAACAAACCCACAAAAACAGCAGGCGGAAATTTTGTTTTGTTCTTCAGAGGTCAGAAGTTTCAATTCTAGGCCTGTCAGGTAGCTGGAAATGCTTTGAAAACCTTGTTCTTGTGTCTACTTGCTTGGATAAAAATCTGGGACAAATTGATCAATTTGAAAAAATTCTACATAATGTTTTGTGAAGACTGGACCTGGAATGAAATTTCTCGCATATAATAAATATATCACAAAAATATTGAAATTAATAACAATAAAAACCATTGCAATTGCTATAAAAACCTTTAGACACTACTAGAGAGTTTTTTTCTGCTGTTAGGCATTGAAAAAAAAAACTCAGAGTTGCCTTCTAGTGTGAAAAAAAGGAGGACTGATAAGAAACTGACTGATTACCCCTTCTGAGTCAATGATTGACGGCTAGAACGCAAGTGGCATGCAGGAAGTCTTACCCCCTAAGGGTTCTGAATGGCTGAAAATACAATTAATGACATTGTTTTCTAGCAATCAGATAGCCTTATTTCTGGCGGTCCTGCTTCAAATATCTACTACATAGTCAATAATCTATCAGTAGCCTCCAGGTCTGGAGGAGGGTTAGTCTAGGCTCGTGCTTCACAATAAGGTAAAAACATGGGATATTTTTTTTTTTGCTGGTTTTTGCTTTTGCAGTCTTGTTTTGCTGGCTTATTAGATAGATACTTTATTGATCACGTGAGAAAATTGGAGAACTTTTTATTGATTACCTTATCGATGCATTTTGGAAGTTTGGAATTGTATCATCAGATAAAAAGTGACTTTGTGATCGATCATCTTGTTTTTTAAAAATAAACCGTTTTTTTAAAGCTCCGGTTGTCCTTTTTCAATTGATAACATGTTTTTGTGATTTTGTTGGTAAAAAACGATTACAAATGATGCAGGAATCAAAAGTAGGTTTTGATTTACACCATGGACGCTTGTGATTACGCCAAGCATGGGATAGGTAAGATTCTATGAACATTTTTTCTTTTAGTTCTAATAAAGGTTTTGTGAAGCTCTAGTTGAACTTTTTTCGATTGATAAAATGTTTTCTGCAAAGGTTTTGTGGTTTTGGTGATGTAAAATGATTAAGTGAGACGCTCCTTTTGAGTCAAGTTTTTCTTAGAATGTAGGTGCTTGCATCCATGACCAGCATTAAGAGGACATTTCCCAGAATGATAATCAAGTAAATAAAATGGATTACAGCTATTTATCTTAACATGCCTGTAATTTAAACATGTTTATATTGCTGCAATACAAACAATGTCTCACAGCTGGAACCTCTTCAGGATCAAGAATACAAACTATACTTCACACCTGAATTATTGTGTGTTTGTCTCCATTGCTGGAGTAACTCCCATTGACTGGAAAACTAAGTTTCCAAAAATGTTGTGATCTTGTTACAGTCACTTCATGAGGATTTACACATTGTATCACAGACATCAAGCTTCAGGGCAATTGACAGCTGCCACTGGCATACAGTGGACTTTCTCCTAAGGAACCATCTCCCTTCGTCACACTAGCCTTAACCTTACCTCTGATTTCAATTTCAAACTCCTTCCTGAGTTTGTAACCCTGTTGATGTTCCCCACCCTTTACAGGGTACTAGAGAGATGTCTCCAGTCTCAGACCCCTTTTAGGAAAGGGTTCTCTTTAGACTTCTCTTTAAACTTCCTGCACCTACCTGGGTGTTCCAAGCTACGTTTAACTGCTGGTGCCGTGATGGTGCCTTGCTACTTCTTTTCCCTTGGTTTGCCAGCTACTCAACTCTGCTTTCCTGAATATTTCTCAACCCAGTCTTCTAACCTGTAGAACCAAGACACATTACCTAACTCCCCTTGAGCATGTTCTTTAAGACCTACAGTATACTAATTCACGTTTATTACTCAAACTTCCTCCACTGTTTTTAATCTTAATTGTTTCTATTCCTCTGCCAGAAAACCTCAAATGCTCTTTGGGTTTTACAATCATTCAATATAAACCTATAACCAACATAAGTTACTTTGCTCCTTTTGGGGTAACCAAATCCACTCCATCATTTAAAAAAAAATTGTTGACTGACGTTATTGTCCCCTTTCTGGGTACTAGAAAGAATCTGAACCTGTTCTCTGGAAGCAGTGCAAAACCTTACATGGTTGATTCTGTTTGGCCAGGTGCACTCTACCACAACCGTTATCTTACCGGCCAACGCGACACAGCAACAACTGAGTCTGCTGCTATGGTAAACCCTCATTATAATAACCTAATGTGGGAGAAGGAGTGTCTGATAAAAGTGGAAGTCCAGAGTATCTCAGAGGTGTCTAGCCTAGGGCTTGATAATTGTATGTGACCATGTTTTAGTGTTAATATTGAATGCAGCATATTCAATAATTTAAAGGAAACTGCATGGTTGCTCAGTGTCTCTTGCACTAAGCTTACACTATGCACTATGTACACAATCTTACACATAATCTGGGAATAAATCAATTTACATATATAATATTAAAACCACTATAATATACTAAGATTGTATTTTTATTCACTTGTATAACTTGAATACCGTATTGATCATACGGTAAGACATTGTGTTTAGTGATATAAAAAGCTATTTGTGTACAGTATGGTATTGCTTCACGTAAAAAAATGACTTTAATATTTATAACATTACTTTAGAGTACTATTTATGCAATACAATACATATAATTTATGTATTGGATATTGCCTTGAGAATGATCCAATTCAAATGAGCTATGTAAGAAAAAAATTGATTGACTGTTTGACTTGTATTAAGATCTATATGCTCATCAAGACATTCTTTAGTGTAAAAACATCCAACAATCTCAGTTGATAAAAATACTGTGTGAAGTTAGGAAAAGGCTTTATAGTAGCATCTCCTTATGTCACAGTAAATATTTGTATTATACAATATTATTTAAATGCAACATTAGAAATTTGACAGGACCACTGATCTAAAAAATGAACAAATATGTACCTCTCATTACACTGCAAACCCAAGTTTCTGACAATTATTTTAAAAGCATACCATAAAGACTTACATTACGGTAAATTAAATGATGAGTATTCAGTTCAGAATTTACTTATGAAGAGAGTAGTTTCATCTCTTACTATGACGAGTATAGTTCTGTTATCAGAATATGCCACAGACTAAAGTAAGCCTTGCCACAGAGTCTGTATTTCCTGATGCTATAACTGATAGTGGTTAACAGCCAAGAAGAGAACTGCTTACAGAATGTTCATGAAATGTTTATACTTCCTGTTATTCCTGTTACTTTCTTAAATTTTCAGTAAGGTATAAGTATTTGTAATTTGTAAAGCTTGTGATATATTTAAAATATAAAATACAAAATACAAATTTAATCTACTTTTTAAGATTGAGAGATGTTTACTGAACTCAAATGTTAGTACCATAATATACTGTAACACAACAGGGAAAGTACTCTTTTTATTTTGAAATATCACTGCTTCATGTTATTAGTGCCATAATTATGAATTGTGAGATGTGGCAGGCATTTCTGGCAAGTGTGAAGCTCACTTTTATAATCTTC